AGCACAAAACTAAGCAAATGTGTCTATACTAAGTTAAAGTTCCTGCATATCAAGTTAAATAGTTAATAAGAGGAAAAAGAAATTTATGGGATGGAACTAAATATTTTGGGAGGAATAAATATAAGCCATATGAAGACTGCATGTCTAAACTATGTAAGGAACTCATTAAACCCAATAGCCTTAAACAGACAATTAATGACAACAAAAAAAATGAAAAAACATCCCTTGAAAACAAAGACTTCAATTAGAAATTATTCTAAGCACTTTAATAGACATTTATACAAAGGAGACATATAAATAGCCAACAGTATATGAAGAGGTACTCAATATCATTAATGGCCAGGAAATTGCAAACTGAAACAACTATGTATAGCATCTCACATTTGTTAAAATGACTATTCACGGTTGACACCAAATGTAAATTAGTACTGATGCTATCAAAAACGAAATGGAGGTTTCTTTAAAAATTAAAAATACATAGAACTACTATTGGAACCAAGAATTCCACTTGTAGGTGTATATCCATAAAAAAATGAAGTCACTATCTCAAAAAGGTATCTACATTTCAATGTTTACTGCAGCGTTAATAACAATAAGCAGAAGATGGAATGGCCCAAGTATGGGGTGGATAAATGGAAAGAGAATATGTGCACACACGCAAGACATGGAATGTAATTTAGCCTAAAAGAAGTAAGTAAATCCTGTTATTATGGCATTAATACAATATCTCACCTATTATGAAAAGTGAAATGAATCAGACAGAAAGTATTGTATAATTTCCATTTTTAGATGAACTCTAAAAGCAGAACTTAAAAAAGCAGAAATCACAAAACAGAAGAAAGGTGGGGAACAGGGGTACACTGGTTGGGTAAATGGACAGATACTGATCAAAGGGTACAAACTTTCAATTACAAGATGAATAAGTATAATGAGTATAGTAATTAGCAATGCATTATATGTTTGAAACTTGCTAAGAAACTAGATCATAGATATTTTTCCACACACAAAATGTTTACTATGTGAAGTGATAGATATGTTAAATTAGCTAGATCATGGCACAGACATTATTTCACAATGTATCCACAGATCAAAGCAGCACATAATACAATTTAAATATATACGATTTTAATTGACAACTAATGCTCAACAAAGCTGCAAAGGCAGAAATAATAAAGCACTGAAACAAAGGAGACAGAACCCATACTGGACAATGACTTGAAACTGTATTAGAAAAATCAGAAATTAGAAAATAAAAAGGTACAACAAGAAAAGCAAACGATGATGTTATAGGACAAAGTGAAAAGAAACTAATTAATGGCATGAAAACTATTGGGATAAATTCAATGAATGTTTACACTGCAGTCTCCCTTTCAATTCAATGCTGTTTTGAATCAGGGTCAGGAAAAAAGTATCTGAAAGAACAGAGCAGATGTACAAATACTTGGACCTGCAGTCAGTCAGATTTACGAATGGAAAAATCTCAGGGAACATTCAAAGACGACAGTGGAATTTCAGTCCCGGGTGATGGAGAAAACTGATGTTGTTAAAAGTAACAAGGAAAGCACTGAAGAAAGGAAGGCTGAGGTTAAGAAATAAAAATAAAATAATCTACTTTTCTGCCATTTTTCTACAGATGGTAGTCAGGTATTATCTAAAGCTACATATTGAGGATTAAGTAAATATGTTATGGTTGTATAAATGTGCATTTTAATTTTTTATTGCCTAAAAGAGATAAAATGATATAGGTAGTCAGTTAATTAAGAAACAAATTGATGTCTGTAAGCAAATCTATACAAATTAGTCTCACCTCTGCTACTCTGCTGCTGTAGGAGGAAAAAACGCAGTATTTTTATTAATATAATTTTTGTTTAAATTAATGGTCTCATTTTTTATTTTTTATATTTACATTTCCTCTTATGGCAAGACTGTCTCAGATGCATTTATGAAAACCACAACTTTAACAGGCTTTGTGATTTCTTAATCCAATTTTACAAAAACAGCACAGTTCAGATAATTTTTAATACTTTCATACTTTTCTTCCAAAATTTGAACCAGAATATTGGGACTATCAGTATGTAACTGATATTTCACATCTTTGCCTCTGGCACCTCTTCCACCTCCACCATAGAATGATCAGCCACAGAATGGACTTAGCAGGATAACTGGACTTAGCAAAAATTCCTGGCATGACTCCTGTTTTTCTTCTGTGTTCGTTTTTCTTTTCCTCAGCCTTTAAGCTCACAAAAATTTTCTCCAAACTCAGACTCAAATGAGCTGTGGGAAAAACTCTGACCATTAAAATCAAGCTTGTTTAGACATCTCATTTCTGCTTTTAATTTCGTATTCTCATCTAGGTCACTTCTGTTCTTCATGTTCTTACAAGTAGAAAATAGAAGCTGTCCCTCTTTCCTGCACAGTGATAATAAGCGTACTATATTGGTGAGTAATATAATACTAGTGGTTTAAACTATGGTTCCAAGAAACGTATACTATCATGTTTTCCCTCTTTATAGCTAGGTACCTCTGGGAAAATTATCTCCTTCTTGGTTTTATCCGTAAATTATTTTTAAAATATCAATACTAGTCAACATTCAATACCATTATATCGACAACATTTATGTATGATGGACCAGACACTACTCTAGGTCTTTAAGATGTTATAAGATTATATGAGACAACATAGCTGAATGGCTGATTTCATTATTGTACCTGTTTATCAGCTGCTTCTTTTGTACAGAATTTCTATATTCCTACCATTGCCAAGCTCTTTGCACCTGGAGAAAACTTTCTTGCCTATTGGTACACGGTTTGATCACATGACATGCCCTGCGCAATAACTCCACATAGAGATGACGTATACTATGTCAAAGTAAAACCAGTAACTATGCCTCCTTTTTATCCATCTTATAATTTGACTGCAGAACTCAAAAAGACCAATGGTCTTCTAACTGTGGTCCCAGAGAGACAGGACATATGGAGCAGAGATATATAGTTGGTCCTGCATAGAATTACATAGATCTATGAACAGGAAATATATGAATATTGCATTATTCATATATTTGATATATATATGAAATATGCATTATTTTTATTTTTATTGCAAGCTACCCCACAACCTTATTAACAAGAAATAGATGTGGTTGTAAGCCACTGAGATTTGTCTTTCAATAAATACAGTATCATTCACATAGAAGTATTTAACATTTTTAGCAATAATAATAAGCTAAAGTTATATTAAAATACCCAAAACGATGAACATCTGCCTGTCTCTCAGACAAATATTTATTGAGTAGTTCCAAGTATAGCACACTGGTTAGCAGCTAAAAATCAAACCTTAAGCAGGTACTTGCTCTCATGCAGAGAGCATCATTATGTGGGGAAAGGAGAAATTTAACTGTAAGGATGAAAGGCGGAATGAAGGAGAATAACATAGGAAGGAGACAAACAAAATAACAGACAGGAAGTGTTCAGTTTGTATAGTGTTCAGAGAAGGCTTCACTGAAAAGGAAACAATTAAGCCCAGACCAGAAGAAAACGAAGGAGGGAATGAAGCAGGCAACTAGAGGAAGCACTTTCCCAGAACACAGAAAAGCAAGTGGAAAGTCCAGTTTTAAATTACCAAGAAAGCTTAATGACTGGGTGTGAGGAATCTGTAGACAGGAAAAATGAACTAGAGTCACTTTGACGAAGTTGGAGTCACAGTGTGTGAGGGAGTTTGCCAGTTACTTCTCTAACATATTAAGTTGAAAAGTATCATTAAGGTTTCTATTTTGAGAAGATGATATAGATTTCTAGGGTGGAGGTAGACAGGTCATCTAAAAACCAAATATAGTAATCATTCATGAAGAGAAATTGGTAGCTTAGATAAAGTTAGTGATACGAGACGTAGCTGACTGGATTTGTACACATTAAATAGGCCACTAGAAGAGTAAATCAGTTTACTTCACTAGGAATGCATGAAGGAATGGCAGAAGTGAGGGACAGGTGGAAACCAGGGATTTGCTTGTTGGCATTGAGTAGTGAACCTAGTCAACTCGCAATCCCTTCTTGCTGGTCTTCCGGAGAAGAATTTGGATTTCTATGGAGTTGTGTAGAACCACAACAGAGCGGTGAGGGTGATCAATCCTCCCAGAATGCAGAGCAGAAGTGGGGATGTGAGTGACACTGAAGGAACGGAATGGAACTCTCTGACGGTGCCCTTGGAGGCTTTGAAACCCTTCCACTCAGGGATGCTACAATGAGTGGCAGGACGGGAAGTTAAGTGTACAGGGACTGAGTGTGCTGGGTCCCAGCTTTTGATTACTTCAGGGAAGAGACTATTTTGCATCTTGTCATGCAATCTAAGGTGCTCCAGCCTAAGTGCCTCTTACTCTCACAGAGTTTAATTTCCAGTCTTACTGTATCACTGTGTACTGCCAGATGAACTTCTCCCAGGGACACCACTGCAAGCCTGGGCTGTGTTTGGTTTGGGTTGTTTTCTCTTGTTCACACTGAGATGCCTCATGGACATCCGGGTAGAGATGCTGAATAGTGTGTATGGCTAGAGCTCTGGGTAAAGGTTGATTATAAGAGATATGAATCTGAGAATAATGTATTCTATCTTTAATATAAATCCATAGCACAGAAATCAAATAGTTAATTATTGGACTATTTAAAGTGTAAATCAAAAGTAAAACATCACTGAAGGTAACAGGATACAAAGTCTCAAACACAATGTAATTATAAGGTAACCAATTTGCTTTTAATCCCTCAAAAAAGTGAAATTATAGTATGATTTTACATCTGACTTGTTAGTATTTTTATAGGATATGACACAGACATAACTGATTCAAACATCTTTTAAAACTAATAACAAGCAAAGATTTACATTTTTTCACAGATATAAGAATCAATGAAAGTGTTGCTAATTTCATTTGTAAAAATGAAATATTGATTTCTTATGCAGTATTTCCAAGGAAACAAATTTTGAAATACATCAGATGTTGAATTTTTTCTCTTACCTCTATAGAGGGTGCAGTCCATGAATGACAAGTCATCAATTGCAATATCTCCAGTAAAACCGTCTCCCACAGAAGCCTCCACTAATATCTAAGGAAAATAAACAGAAGATGTTGGCACTGTGTAGGAAATTAAGTTAAAGTGCTACAAGCTGAAAAGGAACTCACAATTTCTCCAAAGATAACTTTCCAATCCTTTAAAAAAAAACCACTTTGTAATACTCTCCAAAGTGACCATCTTACCTCTTCTTGGGTTCTTCTAACAACAGGAAGCATTATTATCAGGTCTACTAGACCCATGGAACGCATTCTGGTTTTGATGACTGTTATGTTTGTGACATTTCATTAATTCAGATATACCTAAATGCCTAAACTTTCAACTTGGGAGATTTGCTTTGTGTTCCTGAGAATTTTTAAGTATCTGAAGGCGATTTCCTGTTCTGTTGCCAGTAAACTATCAGTGTTCAACTATTTACCTGGCTGAACTTCCTCTTCCTTCCAGAAACCCAATTTGTTTCCAGCGTTACTTTATAGGTACACGTTCGCAAGGGCTTTAAAATTTTTCTCACGGAGACCTTATTCTGTAATACTTTATGAAACTGGCTAATCTTCATTAAATATTCTTTGGAGTCACATTAATCACAATGAACTCAAATGACACGCTGTTCCTGGAGCTACACCAAAACCTCAATAAAAGAGGAAACACTAACAAACCACTGTAGTATTTGGTAGATTTTGATTAGAGCACATATTTAGTAGAATAGAAATAATCATGATGAATTATTTTAACACTTAGGCAAAAGTGTTGTATACTTTTCATAGAAACACCACTATACTTTCATTACCGGTGGTGTTCTCAGAATGAACAGAATCATATTAAAACACTGTGTACTGCCAGAATGAACTTCTCCCAGGGACACCACTGCAAGCCAGACGATATCGCCACAGTAGAAATTAGGGAAGCCAAATTTTATACCTAAATTCTCTTAGTACCTTACTGAATGAATTAACAGACAATCAAAAATCCAGTTTAGTTTAAATGATCTGCTTACATGTAGAGAGACCAATCTACTTACACTAGAACTATCACTGACTTGAAAATTTTGTGATGTAAAGCAGCTCTTCAAAGTTGTTTTTGTAAGCAGCTAAATGCTACAAATAAAAATGAAGTAGCCTTGTGGAGTACATTGTGAAAGGACATGGAGCTTCTGGGTGAAGGGAGGATGGGGTTACAGGGTGCAGTCTGTTAGAGGATGCAGCTTACCTACCCCGAAAAGCTTTCCCACAAGCACAAAAGCAAAAACCAGCCACAAAGACAGTTGACAGCACCGATCACACAGACACCTGTGACTTTCCCGAGAACTACAGTGCCCCCTGAGACATTCCTAGTTTTCACAACTCCAATCCAAAATGTACTTGCTGTGCCTCCTGGATGGCTGTCCTGGCCCGTGTGCCCATACTCCCCACTGGGGTTTTCAGGTTTATAAGCACGTGAGTCCCTCCCTTCGGGGCCCTCTCTGTCTGCGAGACAACCCCTTCCCTGCATCAAATAAACTTCTTTTTCTTGGCAGAGTGTCTCCATTGTCCTTGTATGGGTTACGGTCTCTCTTCTAGGCTCAAATATTGATAAGGCTTTAACTAGCTGCCTCGATTTATGGCTCCTAAATATTTAGGAAGCTGAATAGTTGGCTAAAACTTTAAATGATATGAAAACATCACACACACAAATATTCGTGTTTTTACAATTTAGGCTTTTTAATTAATAAAAAAGGAATTGATCAAATCTGCCACACAATTTCCATTTAATCAATTGTATGTCTCAAAAATAATATGAAATTCTAAAACATGAACTTTCAATATAATGAATTTTCAAAAAACTCAATAGAAATTATTGTTTAAAATGTATGAAAGGCACATATTCCATGTAAAATACGTAGGCCTCGGATACATCACGTATATGATCTGAAATAGCACAGCGCCTTTGGAAACTGAATCGGCAGTGTCTTATAAAGGGACATGTATAAGTCCATGCTATGGCACTGCTACACATAAGAATTTGTTCACACAAAAGAAATAAAGACATATGTTTCAACAAACTCATTCAAAACATTTATATAACTTTTACTTATAATCTTTCAAACAGGAAACTATCTGCATGTTCCTCAACTGGTGGGAAAACAAATTTTATCAGATGTCTATTGAAGACAATACCACTCAACAATGTAAAGGCACACACTGCAGCTACAACAGCTGTGAGTTTCAAAAGCATTATATTAAGGGAAAGATGTTAGACTCAAAGGATTATATAATTAATCAGCTAACTTGCAATGCATTCTAGAAAAGGGCAAGCAAATAAATAGTTTTATGTTGTCAGCAGCCAGGCACAGAGGAGTATGGAAGACTGGCTACAAAAAGGAGTGGGAGATTGGGAGGTAGAATGTTATTATGACTTGTGTCTTAAATGTCCCCCAATGAGCTACGGCTCTGTATTGCTATTCAGAAATGGTGAAACTTGGAAAATGTGGTGCCGAATGGGATCACATTAGTTCACCAGATGAACCTCTGAAGATGATACTGGGACATCAGACCCTTCCTAACTCTCTTCGCTTTCTGGGCACTGTGAGGAGATACACTCCCTTTGCCCTGCATACCCACCACTATGAGGTACTGTGCTGCCACAGGCCCAAAACAAGGAAACTGGGCCAAGCAACCATGGACTGAAATCTCTGAAACTGTGAGCCAAAATAAGCATTTCACCACCTTGAACTGTTTAACTCAAATATTTGTGTCAGTGATGGAAAACAGACTAAAAGGGATGCAAATATTTTCAAGACTGATGATTTTGATTGATTCTGCAACCATGTACTTACTGCTTAGCTACACAAGATAAAATTTGCTTAAATACTGTAAGTGAAAAAATAAAAAACACTATTTATTGCCATAAATTATCAATAGTCTATCATTTATACATTTTTCTCAACTGATAATTTATTCATAGCATTTTGCAACTAGCTTATAGTATTCTTAAACACTTTGATATATTTCTCAATTTAGGTATAAAAAGAATTCATTTCTTACTATGTACTGAGAATGTTTCATTTTCATTTATACTTAAATGCATACAATCTTATTTTTTCAAAAATACAAAAACAAAATGAAAGGCTTGTAAGATTTCATTTTTAGACTGATTGTATACCTGATTAAAAGCTGATAAAGTTAAGTGTTTTAAACACATTCAGAAAAACACCCAATATATCACGTAATCTATTTGAGAGCTCCTTAAAAGTTAGTTTAGAATCTCAAACTTTCTAAACTAACACTACGGACAAATTTGTTGAACTCAATACAAAATGTGCTTTCAATCATCTATGGAATTGTTTCCACAATCATAAAACCAATCTCTATGCAATAACCCTAAGATTTGGTCTGGTAAATCTTATGATTTTAACTCTATCTCTGAGCATGTTGTACATACAAAAGCAGTACAGAACAACTGGGATTTTTGCTTTTATTTTACGGAGAATAAAATCAAACAAACAGAATAAAGCTAATCAAAGTAGAACAATGAAAGTTACAAGATAATATCACAACATAATAGGAAATCAACCATTGCTGCATAAAGACTCTTGTTATCTTTAAAATTACTCTCCATACCATCAGACATAATAAAATCAAACAAAACAAACAGAATAAAACAAAAGAATGAAAGCATATTTTAAAGAGAATAAAATTACACAAAATAAAACAGAATAAAGTCAAACAAATCAAAACAGTGAAAGTGATACAGGATTTCAAAACAGAATAACAGGAAATCAACAATTTCTACTATAATGCCTCTTGCTATCTTCTAATTGCTGCCAATACAGTCAGACATAATTAAACCAAATAAAACAGAACAGAATAAAACCAATTAAAGCAAAACACTGAATAAAACAAAACAATAAAGGGGAGCAAAACAGTGAGAACAATACTGGATTTCAAAAACAAGACAGAAAGAAATTCTCCATATTTGCTATATCTCATATTGTTATCCTCTTAATAGATGCTCATACTACTGGCCTTAGCCTTTCAAAATCATTCAAACAATACAAGCATTAAGTTAGGTACTATCAACTCAGCCTGTCCTCCGAATCAGTTGGTTGCTTATGTCTTCGAGTGTGTGTGTGTGTGGGTCTTGTCTCCTAGCCTGCGCATTGATTAGCTAATGGGAAGGACAAATTGGATTCTTGTTACCCCTCCAGGCACAGCATGACTTCCACCATCTCACAGGAAGGACGAATAGGCACCATTCTCCTCCTGGGACCTACATGGCTTGCACTGGCTCATGGGAAGAGCAAGCTAGTTTCTTGTTACTCCTCCCAGCTCCAGCATGACTACTAATTGGGAGTTTTTCAATTTTTATACTAGATATCAAAAATCATTTATCATTATATATTGTCTATAAAATCTCTACTCTGTGCAAGCTGATAATAAACATGGATAATAAAAAATATAGTTATGGTACTAGTCAAATTCATATAAAGTGTTGAGGACTATGAAAGGATCAAGGACTATATAAGACTGGTTAAAAGAAAAAAAATTATGAAGTCTATTATTCCTTAGTTCTTATTGTGGTAAAAATTATGGCAAGCTTGGTTGCTTTTTTAGATCATATTGTGTTTCTTCTTAGCTAATGTCTAGATTTTTAATATATAACTTGCTAAGAATTTTTGATTTAGAAAATAAAAATGAGTGCCTACTCAGGTACTGGGCCAATTGTTATCATGGGTACCTAGAAGTAAAAAATCATCCTTGCCCTGGAGTATTTCACCATGTAGAGTAGAGAAGTCCAAATAGTGATCAAAGGCTAGATCTTACAGGACATAATTTTAATTTAGACAGTGCTCTCACATCAAATACGCTGTATTTTTAAAGTAGGATATTTCATTAGAAGATACTACTCTTCATTTGCTTCAGCCCCAGAATTTTCTATAACACACCTAAAATTGATATTTATTTTCAGCTGTCATTTATTATCTTACACCTGATTTACTTCTGCCAATTCATGTCCCTTACCTGTTTCTCACAAGGCATTTGAGTCTGCAATTTCAT